AACATTTTTCTTTGTCTTGGGTGCTCATAGGGCTTTCTAAGGTTTATATAACTGTTATAATTTTGTTGGTTCCCTCTTTGGTCGTACTGGTAATAAGTATTTAATTAGGTTAGGCTGGTTTTGTGCCGGCCGGGTTCAAACATAGTAGGGTCGGTCAAAATATCCGAAGGTGCCAACATTGGCGAGCGCTTCTGCTTCATAGATGATGCTGCACAGGCATGGCTCCGCAGTCGCAACGATAAGTTGTATTGCAAATGCATCTCTGCTGTGACAATGGGCATCGACAGTTTGCAGAAAGTGCCAACCGCTGGATGGCAGAAGGCCAGCGACACCACGCTGCTCTTGGAGTTCCTTGAACACTTTTGCAGTGTGAACGCAGGCCTTGCAAATGCTGATCCGATCCTGCGCTGGACGTGGGTGGCTGCCTCGAACATCAACCTCGCCGTGCGTATGTTGTATCGGGGCGGTCTCTGGCTGGATCAGAGCACGGCACACACGGTGGCCCGCTGCGGACTTAATTTCTTGAAATCTTACGGGCACCTTGTGGCGATGACGTTGGCGGCGGACAGGGACAGGTTCCCTGTAACACCCAAATTGCATATTTTGCACCACTTGTTTTTGCACTTGCAAGAAAATGCTTCAAGATGCTCCTGGACACTATCCTTTCTTGGCTATTCAGTGCAACAAGATGAAACTTTTGTTGGCATACAGGGCAGAGCGAGCAGAAGAGTTGGACCCCAGCATGCCGCTCTCCGTGTTCTGCAACGCTATCTGGCGGACGCAGCAGAGCACTTGACGCCGGAGTTCCGCTTGGCCGCCAAAAAATTCGAAGGGGCCGAGGGCCCAGAGCAAACCCGAAGCCTGAAACGCCCTCGAACCCACCACTGGTAGGTTCCTTTCGGGGTTCTTAGGGCTGTAAGGTTCGTAAGGTTTTGGGGTTCTTAGGGTTTTAGGGTTCTTAGGGTCTTGTAAGGTTTTCATATTATATATATATATATATATCTTTTTAGGGTCTTATATAGGGTTCCAAGGGATGTCAATGACTCTGCAGCCCGAAACCAGGCCGAACCTCCTCAGCTCCCTGTGTATAGGGTTGATAACAATTATAATAACTTTTATATGGCTTTTGTTGGTAGTCAAAGATCGCTCAAGTCTTGCGGTCTCCTCGAAACAGTCCACGATCCCTGCCAGATTCCGAGCCCCCAATCTTAAATCCCTGAACCCTGAGCGAGCTCAAATAGGCCGTTCGAAGTTTCGTAGGACGATTATGTAGCCGAAATCCCCAAAGACCCAAACAACCCAAGATTCTCAATCCCAACTTCTGGCCAAATCGCTGTAGGGAGGATCCCAAACCTTGCAACATTATAGGACCCAAACAACCCTGTAACACTTGAAACACCCAAGCAACCAGGGATGCTGAAGCCAAGGGCGCTCGAAACCTCAATAAGACTCCCAGGTCCCTGTAATTCTATATGAACCTGAAGCTCTCAAATCAACGTCTGATAACCTCAACCCGAAACCTACGCCGAAGCCTTATAAAACCCTATACACCCCGAAGCGTAAACCCTGAACCCCAAACCCTGATCGAACCGTAAACCCGAAACCCTCAACCCGGAACAACTGTATGACCATTATGAGGACTTTTGTTCAGCGGTTGTTTTCGGATGGTTCAAACCCTGAACCCGAAACCCGCTAACCCGGAATAACTAGACGACGATTATGGACTTGTGTTCGGTTTCGGTTGGTCGAAACCCTGAACCCTAACCCGAAACCCTGTAAACCTTGTACAAGAGAGAGGTGTTTTCACTGGTTGTTTTAGGATGGTTGTAGCCCTGAACCCTATAAACCCGAATTAAACCCTTAAAACCTTTTTTACGGTGGTTGAAACCCTGAACCCTAAACCCGAAACCCTATATAGAACCTTTGTACACGAAACACGTGTTTTCAGTGGTTGTTTTCGGATGGTTGAGTGGTTGTTTTGGGAAGGTTAAGAGGCCCTCGTTCAGTGTGTTCAGACAGACTAAATAAAAGATCTTCCGCGTTTACTTTTTTTTCGACCCGAAAAAAAAGTAAACCGAATCCCACGAATAGAAAAAAGTATCCGGACGTATCTACTGGTACTGCAGCAGGCGAAGCACGCAGCTCCTGAAGCCGTTGCTTCCTTCGTGCCTTGAGCTCTCCAGCGGGGCAAAGATGGCAAAACTCGCAAGTTTCACCTGGAGCTTTGAGGGCTTGAGGTTTCCGGCTTAGCGTTAGGGTTTAGATGGTTTAGGGTTTAGGAGTTTAGGGCTTTTGCTTGCAGTGATTTGCATTAAAGGGTGAAAAGGGGCTTTCGTAACTCGGACACTTCAGGCGAGGTAAATCTAATTCGAAGTAAGTTCGAAGGTCTGCCTGTACAGGCGGCTCTTCGGGCTCACATAGTTGCATGAAATCACGAATACCTCTTTGTAGCGAAAACTCGCCGACAGACTTTGCCACTGACTTTGTGCTTGCCTCGTCTCCCCGAACACCCGCCGTGCAGACTCAAGACAACTTGCACATGTTCTACCATCAAACTCAGCTTCGCGCAGGAATCCTATTTGCACAACTGCAGCATTTTTCCCGGGGCGGCCATGCAGAGATCTGATTCATTATTAGTGACTCCTCACCACAGCGGACAAACTGTACATTGTACATCTGGAGGAAATCAGACTTGTCACCGCCGTGATACCGTCTTCTGCGAGCCCCAGAACTCACACCACGACTATGTCCTGAGGGCTGGCAACCTCTGTGCCGGCATAGCAGACGCAGCTGCCTTGCAACGTCATTCCAATGCACTCGGTGTTGAGCAGCTGCACTTCGCAGTCCCCACCCATTAGAGGTCGAACCGGAAGCTGTGGAAGAAGCATGGCAGTCTCTTGCCATTTCTGCGCAACGGTTGCATTGGTCACTGTGGTTGTGTTGCGCAGATTGGCAACCACCGCCCACATCTGCTTGAACTTGTCGGTTACGTTGGAGCCCAAGCGTAAGCTTGCCGCCGCCGTCGTCTCCGAAAGGACAACAGGATCTATCATGCGCTTGTTGACTTCGAAGGATGTGTGCCCTGTCAGCAGCTCAAAATTGAAATTTGAAGTTTGTCCCGGGACGGCCTTCTCATTCGAGCCAAGTGCCCAAATCAAGACCCAACCGCGGCTCCTTGCCCAGGCCTGTAAGCGGACGCCCATGTCAGCGCCTGGGTTCTTGTTGAGGGATTCAATTTATGTTACCATCAAAGAGACCTAAGATAAATAATGTGGCTTCCTTATCATACTATGGTAACTTGAAATAAATTCCTTAACAAGAACCCAGGTGCCGAAGAGCGCCGGGAAAGAGCCGATGAGGAAACGAATTGCGGAAGGAAACTGTAATTGACCTATGAGTGCCCCCTCGAAGTAGTTCAGGAAAGAGCCGCCTGGTACGACATTCTGCCCCCAAGGAGTCTCCATCCTTGCTAAGGTGGTGTGTAGGAGACCACGACCATGCCAGAAGCCTCTGTTGATCAAGAAGAGGTGCTTGTTGTGCTGCAGAGTACCTAGCTGCTTGAAGCCTTCTACAGCGCTGCAGTTGTGTGGCGGCGCCCACGGAAAAGCCGCCTTGTCAATGCAGCCCATCTCGAACAAGCCAGTGTCGACCGGAGACAAGAGGGCGCTCTTGGCGATGTATTTCTGCGCGAAGACGGCAGAGACATCTCCGTAGATGGGGCTTCCCATATCAATCATGTTCAAGTTGACCATGGAATAGACCGGACGCTCGGCAGCTTCCTCAAGAGTTGATGGCGCCCCACAGGACCGAAATGGCTTCATGCCATACACGTCGGTCTCTGCATGATCTTGTCGACAGAACTGTTTAGAGTTGTTCTCCGTCGGATAGATGTGGCAATGGCCATCTGCTATATAAATCTGTGTGGCGAATGCCGCGTCTTTCGGGCAGTCCACTTTCTTTATCACTCCGTTGGTTTGCAAAAATGGGCTTTTCCAGCTTCTGAAGACTTTCGAGTTGTTGCCAGCCATCCACATGGAACTTGTAACCTGACCTGGCTCATAGTCGTAGCGGATGATCATGTTCATGCCCTTGGAAAAAGGCTGCTCATAGCACGTTGATAGTAGCATCTCGACAGGCGTAGTCTTGTTGCCAGAGCAGCCACCAAACCACTGCTCCACGGTCACGGCCCCCTTGGAGGAATTGACATGGAACGCCACATATGTGGCTAGGAGACCATGCCAAACATGATCTGGATCTGAGGAATGCGTCAAAACAGCCTGCCAGTCATTCAGGAAGAATGTGCCGTTCATGCCGAAGCCAATAGACATGCCGGGGGAATCCGGGAACATCTTCGCGGGATCTTGGTCTGCAGGGAAGCCAGATGCAACTTCCGCTACCTCCACCTGCTTGGAGACTCTGTCCAACAGCTCCTTGGCTGTTAGTTCTGCTACGGACGGGCAGCAGGAGGAGAGGTTCGCACGGAAGTCTTTGGAGTCGAAGAGCGCCAAGAGCTCAGGCTCTGCAGCTTTCGACTGCTCAGCTGCACTATTCTCCACCTCCCTGAAGACCTGCTTTTGCCATTCTGTCAGCGGTGCGCCAAAAGCAACGCAAGCAATTGGCTGGAACGACAAAACCAGGCCCACCAGAACGACGCGAGCCATGAGGACGAACATGAAATTTCTGCTAGGAGAACTTGCTATTGATGGCACGAAGTCTCTAGAAGCATGAACGGGATATATCGGGATATCCGAAAACAGCCTTGAGCCATTGGCAGTTCAAGGCTGGAATGGATGGAGGCTCGACGGATCGAAGGTGGCTCCTGCCTCTCTCGGTTTCGGCGCGGACGAGACGAGAAGGCTCACGTACCATCATAGTATGGTATAATATCATATACTATAGCACCATGTAAAATAGTATAATGTAACATAGACTAATACATAGCAATATAATATCCCCTTCGCAACACTGAGCCCGAAACCCCCTCGCCCCTCGCGGACATTTCAGGCCGAGTCACCCTTCTGGCAGCCGCCAGGCGTCCAGAACCAAGCGCAGGGCTTGCATTCTCCTTGCATGCTTCTCTCTTTTTTGGGGGTCATCGGAGTCGCTGAGTGGTTCGCTGCCTTAGTAAGTTTAAGCTTAGGCCGTCCAGGGTAGGGTCTAGGGTTTAGGGTTAGGCTTCAGGATTCAGCATTGTCTGCAACTTTGTGGCTCCAGTAGAAAACGAAGGGAGCTTTGGGATTCAAATGATTTCAAGGCTTCAGAGGCCTACACGCTATGTTCGTTTCAGTTTCGCCAAGGTTTGCGGCAACCCTAGATTCCGGACGATAAAGCCAAAACATCCACGCGCAAGGTATTACCTTTATGCAACAGAGTCGAACCTGGAGAGACAATTTCACGAAACCGGACCTGCTGCTTCAGGATGCCCCCCTCGCCCCCCTCAACCCATGTTCTAAACCGCGAACCTGTACCGGCGCCTGGAGGAAACGCTGCACCCTGAATCCAAGCACTCTTCCAGTTGTGATCCCGAGCTGCCCCGATCGTGAAGAGATCGGTCAAAGGGATGAGTCTCCAGCTTCGCCGGGCCCTGAAACCTCAGCTGGCTCCCGGGGACACCAGTATGAACTACTATTCTCGCTGCCATCATTGAATTTCTGACAATGCTCCTACGTAACATGACACAATGTGAACAACACGACGAAAAACATGGGAACACAAATCCTTGTGAGGCGGCGACATTTTGCAAGTGCAAGAACGACTTCAGAGACTCGCTGCACGAGGTTCATGTCGAAATGTCTTGCTCTATGCATCCATCCATCCATCAATCAATCCATCCACCCACCCATCCCTCCGTCCATGCATAGGGAGAGAGGGAGAGAGAGACAGAAAAGAAAACGAGAGTGAGAGCGAGAGAGCGAGAGGGAGAGAGAGCAAACATACAGCAGGTATGATGAGAACACTCGCCACACTCCAAAACAACCGAGCGGCAGCGGGAGCGGCAGCTTCTGAGGTAGTGCGACATCCAATGTCTCCACAAAAGGAGTAGCAACGAAGTCTAAGTTGACATATCTCGGGGACTTGGATGCGGTGTCGGCATGAGGTCCGCTCTTCGGCTTCGCCGTCCCAGCACCGTGCTTGAACTTGCTGCTGCTGTCCTTGTTCTTGGACTCGGGACCCGCTTACAAATAATCCAGCAGACCCTCAAGTTCCCTGGGCTACAACTCAAGCCGCTGGCCAAGTGTCGTGCTCCATGGATCCCAGGGGATGAGGGAGCCCGGGTGGATATGTGCCGCCTTCGCTTTCCGGGCTCAGCGGCTCGACTTCGCCATTACCGGAGCTCCCTCCGGCGGGGCTAAGGACTTCCTCCAAATCCTGGGCTTTCAGAGGTCAAGCTATTTTTAGAGGTCCGTTTTACCCGGCAGCGCCATGACATCCAAAACCTCGAGCTGCATGGGAAAAAACCACAAAAAGTGCTGCTCAACGAGAGCCAGGAGCTGTAGTAGAGGTCGGGACGACATATTCGGCAGTCTCCTGCGCCGTCTTGTGATCGCCGGGCATCGAAGCTGCTGGACCGGTGTCCGCAGCAAGGACTGTAAAGAACTGTAGATCTACACCTTCAATCCTAACCTAACCTACGTAAACCTAAGCGGCCGCGGTGGCAAACATGGTGTATGTGCGTGCAATCCTTGGGTCGCACAGTCCCATGGAGATTTGCAACAATCTCGATTCAGCAGAACTTAGCAGGAATCTTCTGTGGACCCCATGACAACCAAATCGAGCTAATTACTGACAAGTGACAAAGACCGACGTCAACATCTCCAAGCCCGAACAGTCGCACCTGAGCCGCCAACGGCCTTCCGCTGAGTGCCCTGCAACGATAGGCCCTGGCCGCACAGTCAACGCAGCCGAATTTACGGGGGTCACATCGGCAAAGAGATGATGGCAACACGCAAGCATCGTAGCCGGAGTGAGGGTGGTCGCAATCTTACGAGTGTGACACATCATGCATCCAGCACTGCCTTGTAGACGACTTGCCACAGCGGTCCCAGAACAATCGAATCTTTGCACACGCTGATACCCAACAAAACTGAAGCGGGCTCTCCTGCAGCGTGGTAGCCCGGGCCACTGAAGCGGGCAGAGCAAAGGCTAGCACAGCCTGGACTCTGGCCGCATGCTGAGAGGCCCACAACGGAGGTCAGATCCCTTCAGATCCCAAGGTCTCCCTTCATGCTCTTCGAGCCGTGAGCCTCCTTCGCGTGCCTGGCAGGCCCATGTTGGCCTGGGGCCGCACCTGGGCAGAAGGGCGCTAGAATCTAGAAGCATGCCGGGCAAGGGGCTGAGCATCTGAGACTTGAGCCTTGCTGTTGCATTTGCAGCATTAGGACAAGGAAAGTAGAGGTGTCCGGGCTTGGACAAAATGCCGCGGCAGCAACGAGTCAAGAACAGTTGGCGAACAAGCGACGGGTCTGAGTCTCTGGTCATGCCGGCCGTGCTACGAGTATAATACAGAACCTACCTCAGCTACTTGTATCCACCTGTAGGTAGACAACGTATACGAAAGTCGCATCACATTCGGCTCGATCTTTCGGGGGCCCCTGCTGTTTTGTTCCTTCTGGCTTCTGTGCCGCTTTTGCGGGACGAGTGCTGCAAGTGCCAAACCGATTCCATGAAACCTGTGGAGACGAAGCGTTCAATCTTGCGCTGTGGCACGGAGAGGGTCGTCTTCGCCGTGTCAGCATGCAAAGCTCTGCGAAAGCGTCGTCTTCGCCGGGTCGACATGCAAAGCCCTGTTAAAGAGCTTGACAATGTCCGGCGACAAGTCGTGTGTGACAA